CTGAGCAAGCAAGATAAAATGTTTCCCACTGTAACCATGTGTATAGTTTATTTTTACTACAGTAATAACAGAAATTCTTACAATTCCAAAGGCCAGAAGTCCCAAATGTTCCCACTGGGTACAAGAGAATGAATATTTGTGATCCCCCCCACCCCCCCACCCCACAAAGTTCAAGTGTTGAAACTCTAATCCTGATGTGATGGTATTTGCAGGTAGGACCTTTAGGAGATAATTAGGTCAGGAAAGCCCAGCCCTCATGAACAGGATTAGTACCCATAAGAAAAGGGCAGACTGCTAGCCAGCTAAGCGCTCTCTTCAACCTTGTGAAGTTACAAGGAGAAGTCAGCTGTCCGCAACCTGGAAGAGGACTCTAACCAGAACCCAACCATGCTGGAACCCTAATCTCAGACTTCCAGCCCCAGAACTATGAGAAGTAAATATTTCTTGTTTAAGCCACCCAGTCTACGGTAATTTGTTAAGCAGCCCACACTAAGACTCTGGGGCTAAAATCAAGGTGTGGGCAGGACTGTGGTTCTTTTGGAAGATCCCTGAAGAATCTCTTTCTTTGCCTTTTCCAGCTTCTAGAGGCTGCCTGCATTCCTTGGATCAAAATCTTCTTAAAGTAAACACATGACTTTGACCTCTGCTTTTATTGTCACATCTCCCTGACTCTCCTGAGTCCATCTTTCATGTATAAGGACACTTGGAATTATATTGGTCTTACTGGAAAATCCAGGACACTCTCCCCATTATAAAATCCTTAATCATATCTGCAAAGTCCCTTTTTGCCTTGTAAAATGATATATTCACAAGTGCTAGGGATTAGGACACAAAACACAGAGATAGCCGGTACCCATCCAAAGTTAAGACACACTAAGCTGAGCTGCTGGGCCATGTACCTTGAGGAGAATGAGGCTTCTGGAAGTGCTGCTGTTCTAGAGTTAATGGTCAGTATTTTAAGAGAATTTTAAATATTATTAATATTTTAATAAAATTAAAAGTTAAAAATAAGTGGCAAGACCATCAGATAAATCTAGATCTCTTTAAATCCCACGTGTGTTCTTATAATCCCTATGATAGACTGCCTCACATCCATCTTAAATCTAGGCTGGAAATCTTCTGTAAGTCAAACCAAGGCCCCCACATAGATGAGCTACATCCCCTGCTTGGACCAGCTGGATCAAGAAAGAACCTGATGACAGAGGCCAGAGCAGAACAGAAAGTAGGCTCCACGCCCAGGCTAAATGCTTTCACGTTTGTCTTTAGGAAAAGGAACTGCAAGGATGTGAACTTCTTGGTGCATGTTTAAGAGATTGCTTTATAAAAGTAAACCTGGATTAACACATGTGGCACTGTGTTGATTCAGTCTCAGTAAATATGTCTTCATGGACTGTTTTTATTTCCAAGAGATTCTTTTCCAGACCTTACCTGAGAAGTGAAGCGAAGAAATTATGGTGCCCAGAGTGTTCCAAATCAAGTCAGCTATACTCCTTAAAGAAAAGTTTGCTTTACCAGAGTCAATGCATTTGTTACATGAACTTCCCAGGACTTGGTTTCACAGCACACATAGTTTAATAAAATTTGTATTTTTCCACTTAATATTCCAGGCAGGAAATTCCCTTTCCCCAGAATCCCTGAGACTATGTGAAAAACAGAGAAGGCTCTAGCACACGGCCAGCACATATTAGGTATTCATTAAGTAACCGATGAACAACCCATGAATGCATACACAAAGGCCTAAACAAACTCTCTTGCCACAAGGCCGATCTGAGAAGTTCACTTATTGTAAAATGCCATTTAACTCCACTCAACAAACATTAATATGCAAATTGCATAGAAAAAGAGAATTCCTTAGTATCCTAAGTATGCAAAACCTTTTCATTTTACATGCATTCTAGTCAGGATATTACAGCGGTTGAAAGGTCTTGGAGACATTAAGACTTGAGTTTAAATTCTGGTCCTAATACTAGCTTTGGGGAAGCTGCCTAACCTTTCTAGCTTCTGTTTCTTCATCTCTAGTAGCAGAATAATAAAACTGAACTTGTACAGGTGTTCTGAGCATGTAATGACAACATATAGAAAATGTTCAATAGTTCCTGGGGCATTGATGACAGTGATGGTGGTGGATGATGATGATGAACTGTCTAGATCCTCCAGGACAGACAAGTTCCCTGCCATGTGAGGTCCATCTGTCCTAGGGACATGTTCATCAGTATGCTGCTCTCGGGTTCTCTACAGTAGCTGCCTATCTTCTTATGCAACGTGCGCTAAATCTCAGAGCGGGGCATAAAGCCCTCCCTGACCTCTCATCCACTGCTGGTCCAGCTCACTTGCTTATATACAGCATGCTTCTACTTTGACCATAACTGGCTAAACAGCAGTACCACAGGTTATCCAGTCCTATCCCCACACCTTCCAACTCCCTATCAGGGTCTGGGGCATAGCCCCAAGGCACAATCTGTTTCCAAGGGAAGGAGAGCCTAGGGCTTTTTATCTATGTGAGCAATCTCTCCTTTCCTTGTCACTTTTAATGCTTCCCTTTTATCTCTAAACCTCCTTCTCCCACTTTCTCTTTTATTTGCCTTGAAAGGTGACCTAAGTAGCCCTTCTTAGGGACACAAAGTTTTCTCTATGTATATCTTAATTTTACTATAGATTGTTAAACAGGAATTGCCCATTAAAAATAAACTTTGGGGTGCATAAAAAGAGCAAAGCAATACAGAAAATCCAATCTAATGGACAGTAATGTAGGTGCATTCTTGAAAGTCATTACTCTATTTTTCACCATGTCCTGTGCCATTCTAACATAGGGTTGTCCTTTAAATTCTTATTTCCTTTAAGTAACTATGCGATATTTATGTTAAGTAACTACGGGGTATGCAGGGCTGCTCCTATGAATTCAGAGAGGGAAGAGGGAAACGTGAATTTGGGTTTGTCAATGACTTCCTTAAAAACTTAAAGCTGTGCCTTGGGTGTTGCTTTTCTGGAGTGAAAAGCCTGCTTTAGCTTTTCCGGAGGGAGATCCCAAGTTCTGTCTTGGTACTCAAGAGAAGATAGCCAGGAATGGAACCACCTGTTCCTACCCAGATACACGCTATCAGCCCTCTAGAACAGTATGCTTTGATGAAAGAGTTACACAGAGGAAAGGCACATTTTCATGACCTATCCACACAGCTTCTCACAATTGAAAAGAACATAAGATCATCGGATATTTAAGCATGCAAAGACTAGGCAATGTTTACAAAACACCTCTATTTTATCTGAGCTCACTAGGAATAAATCTGGGAGGTAAAAAATCATTTTTTCATATGATTTACACAACTTATTAAAAAACATGACTTAAGAGCTTTCTCTTTCTAATTGTGTAATTTATTTTCTCCTAAAACACCTGTATTACAAACACTACCACAAATGTCAACCCTTAAAAATGAAAGGTAGGAAAAAATTTTTTTGGTCTTAATATAAGCCCTAGAAAACTTTGAATAAACTGTCAATATTAACTGCTAATTCTTTTGCAATATTATAAGTCATTGTTTGAAATTCTCTAGCATTCCATATTTTTTCTTTGGAAAGTAAAAAACAAAACAAAAGAAAACAAAAACAGCAGATGAGGTCTATATAATTTTAGCGAGACAGTTAATTATTCCAGGATAGGTCTGGCATACTAGATAAGATCAGAGAATTGTATATTTTTTTCCTGCTAGGAAAAATGTTTCAAAAATATAAATGTAATGTGAGATATCTTCTACAGCCTTCAATCTAATCTTTCCGTATAGATTTACAGTTTTGCTGTATTGATTTAGGACTTGTATGGGATAGAATTCAGTGAACTTCTGAATATGCCCATTCCCTTTCTTTGAAGTGTCCATTAATGACTGTTTGCCTTTAAAAAGCTATTTGTTTCTGTGAAAAGCTAAACAACACACCCAATTTTTTATTCCTACTTTGCAAATCCTCTTATGAAACAGAACAGGTTATGAAGCTAGCTCAAGAAAAAGCACAACTTATAACCATCAATAACATTCCATTAGTCTGCCTCATCTCTTCCTGGCATATTCCTGGGACCTGGGCTGAGAAACACCACTCAGCCAATCATGTCCCTCACTGAATAGACCCCAGGTGACCCCAGTGGAGGCTGAGAGCACTAATGAAGAAGAGGAAACTTTATTTTAACAGGAGGTAAGCAGCATGAAAAATAAAAGGTAAGTCAAACAGGGTATTTTTAAAGCAAGCATAAGCATTTTGCATAAGACTATCTATCTGAGGTTAAGATCTTTCTTAGACTAAAACAAGTCATTAATAAAAATCCTTTTGTACCTCAAGATCATGACCTTCAAAGTCTTTCCTCTGTTCATCATCCATGAAACAGGTTTTTCAGACTCATAACCACATGAATCAATATTAACCAATGTGGTGAGTATCTTCGTAACTCTCTAACCATCTGAACGGTCAGGAATACTTTCTGCGTTAAACCCTGGTCAACTGCTATCAGATACCAAAAGCTTGGTTACCTTTATTACTTTTATTTCATCAAGCTAATTAACGAGAACTTCTATTTATTTTACTTTATAATCGCTCATCTAACTTCGAAAACGTAGATAGGCATCTTTTTACAGTATATGTATTTCCTCTTTTTAACCATTCGCTTTCTTAAAGATAATAACCAGCACTTCAAGAGACTATCTATCTACTTGCCCCCCAACACATTAAATAGTTTATTTAGTCCACTTAACACAAATGGAACATACTCTCTATGACACGGTTGCAAAAAACGAAAACCAAGTAAGCCATCTGCAAAGAGGAGTACGAACATATGATTTGTGAATCCTGCAACTCTACAGACTTTTGGCTGGAGGGAAAAAAATACAAAGGAATCGGCAAGGGAAAACATGCTTAAGGTTTTCAAAGTTATTTTCATTACAAGGAAACTAACCACCTAAAGCCAGAGATAGAGTAAAATTTATAACCAGAAAAATTTAATACAAAGTCATTGTACTCACTGTCTGATGGCTTCTGTCACAGTAACGCAGCCCAAAATAATCTATCTCCACAAGGTTTATGTGACGGAATACGTGGTCAAGAACAACAGAACCTTTCGTTGACTTCTGCAAAAACAATTCACAGTTCTTTTTTTAACAAGGTGTTTTGTCTTCCTCAGGGGTACACAGTCACAGTTCTCATCTTTAATTAGCTTCACTAACAATGGGAGCAATTTTATTAGCCCATAGTTCCCTCGATAAGTTTTGCCTCAGTTACAAAGAAAAAAAGGGTTGTAAGTAAAGTGTATTATTAAAGAAATTGCTTTGGAAAACAATCTTAAAATTGTAGTGAGTTTTAAATTAATATAAACTTTTTTTTTTTCTTATGGGATTGTAAATTATCTTCAGGACAAATTCTTCATTAAGACGATCTTTTATATAAAGAGAATCTAATAAATTCATCAAAAAACCACTTACTTTGATTAAAATCTCACAATTCTTTTACTTTAAGAAGCAATTTTCATCTATAGTGTTACTCTCACAATACAGAAGATACATAAAATTAAAATAATAGCCAAAGTTTTATTTTCAATCTTTAAGTAATAAACCCATAGATTAAAGATGTCAAAGGTAATGTTCTCAAATGGCCTAGTGGAATATATTTTGCTTTATCTCTTTCACATAAGCAAAGACATAAAGAAAACATTTTCCTTGGCTGCTCTGTAAATGCTGACACCTATCTAAAAATCTAATCTCTTCTCCCCCTCTCACTACATACACAGATTCTTTAAATTAAGATTCTTATCATAGAATATATTAAGTACCAATTATTCACTCGGGAGATAAACATTTAATCAGCAAGCACTATTCCACATACCACATAAATTTTGAAAATAATCCATTTTGATGGCATGTGTACAGATACACACGTTTCCTTTCTTTTGCCCCATCATTGGCAGATACAACCGGATAGTAAAAGAAATCCCCAAGAATTCGCACATTGAAGTAGGGCTTTGTCCAACAGCATTTTCCCTCAGAGAATTCCCATTACATGTTTACTCCTCCTGTAAAGTGAGTACTCAGCATTGACCCGCTTTTAGAAAACAAATTTGTAACGTAAAGGAAATGTTTTGATTAAATGTATAATAAAATGGGTAATAAGAGGGGGTAAAAACACACAGTGCGAAAAAATAATTCTTATTTCAAATTCCACAGGTATTTCGTTTTCCTCTAACTTATCTTGGTTAAACTTAATTAGTTCCTTTTCCAAAATTCATTAGATTTATAATCAAAAAGCCCTTTTATGATGGATCTGTAGGTTGTTGATATAATAACAATGCCACTTCCAGTAAATGCCTCGTTGCGCTCATGTACCTATGTCTTCAGTTAGGGTAAAAAATTTGAAAGTACATTACTAATTCAAAAGATATGCATACTTAAAATTACAATGGGCACTGCCCAGAAGACCATTACAATTCATTCAATGAGAGCACATTTCCCTACCAACATTTGGACTGAGCAAAATTTTCCCAATCTGACTGAACAAAACAGGAGGAGCGGGTAATTGCTCTATCATGTGCTCAGTAATCAATAGCATTTCCTGGCATTTGAGTGACACATTCTCTAACCCCAAGTTTAAAAGCAAATTCTATGAAGTACTTCTAATACAATTTTACTTTGTATATTTAGCTCTTCACGCTATCTGGAAATTATTTTTGTGCTTGAGATAAGAGCCTAACTTTGTTTCCAAATAGACAACTGCACCACCATTGAACAGAAAAGCCATCATTTCCCTCTAGATTCAAAACAACTTTATCATCTACTAAATGAACCCTCATTCAACCCCACGGATAATTCTTGGGCCAATCTTCGAAGATTTTAATGAGTCTAGTTTAATTTGTTGCTATCCATCACTCTTTTTCAAAAATGCCAACTCTTACACATCTTTCTCTTTTAGAGGAAGTTAAAACCAGCTTGCCAATTTAATAAACCATTCTGTATGGAATCTGACTGGAATCAAATTTAATTGACAGACTTTGGTGGGGGGCGGGGTGACATGATATTTATAAAGGGAAACTTACGTGGTTTTCTTTTATATTCATCAAGGAATTTTTATGCCTTTTTTCATGTAGGTCTTATAAAATTCTATTAGGGATGAATTTACAAAATGCTCCCCACCCCCAAAATATATCCTGCTCTAATCCCTAGAACCGGTGAATATGATGAAATATCACTCCTGTGATTGTATGTCACAACTGCCCTTAAAATACACACACACACACACACACACACACACACACACACATTACTGAAGTATGATCTGATCTAATTATTTGGGCCTTTACAAGCAAAGCACTTTCTCCATCAAAAGGGAAGGGCAGAGGGGAAGTAAAATATATTGAAAGCATGAGAACAACTGCACAGGTCCTTGCAACTTGAAAGATGGAGGGGCCACCTGGGAAGCAATAAAAACAGCCTTATGGAGCTAAGAGTAGGCCCCAGCTGACAGCCAGTAAGAAAATGAGAACCTCAGTTCTACAACCACAAAAATAAGGTTTTGTTAACAATCTGAAAGAGTCTGGAAGCAGATTCTTCCCCAGAGCCTTCCAGATAAGAATCCCACACCCCAACACCTTAACTTCAGCCTTGTGAGACTAAAGAAGAGATAACCCAACCACACTATCCTAGACTTCTAACCTACAGAATAATGAGATAATAAATGGGGGGTATATTTAAGCCACCGATTTGTGGTAATCTGTTATTCAGCAATAGCAAACTAATTCATGCTTATTCTTAGCTATTTTATAGTTTTATTGATATATTACACTTTCTGAATGGCTATTGCTAATGTATTGAAAAGCAACTGAGTTTTTACACTTCCCAGCCATCTTGCTAAACTCACATTAGTAAAAAGAATGTCTACGGAGTCTGATCATATAATCACATTTTCTACAAAGAAGTGTTCTAGTTCTTCCTTTTCAAAATGCCTCCTCTATATTTGTTTCTGTTTTTGTTTTTGTTTTTGTTTTTACTGCACTAGCTGGGGTCTCAATAAAAGGATGACTGAGAGCTGTGAACACATTCGCCCTTCTCTTCTTCCTGAGTTTAATGGAATTGCTTCTAAAATTTCATCACTAAGCATAATGGCTGCTATATAGCCCTTTGTGTATACCTTTATCAAACAGAAGGTCCTTTTATTCTTGCTTTGGGGTCTTTGCTTTGTTTTGTTCTATTTTGATTTTTAACCAAGAATGGGTGATAATTTTATCAACTTCTTTATGGGAATATAAAATGATTACATGATTTTCGTTGTTTAATTTATGATATTAAAAGTTTCCGATGTCAAATATTTTTAATACAGAATTTCCCATTTTAATTCTTTTGTTCTGGGTGTTTATCAAGCCCTCCTCTCTATTTGGAGAGGATCCCCCATTGTGTTAGTCTTGGTGGAAGCAGGAACCATATACCCTGACACCTGGCAGCTGGGCCATGAGACATGACCTGGTTTCAGCCAAGGACTTTTGCTTTCTGAATAAGTGATGCAAAGATGAAGGAAGAGCTAAGAATTCAGTCATCCAGTTTTGGAATCAATTGTAACAAGGAGTAATAGTGACCAATTTCTAAGCCAGGTTTCCCTGCATTCTTGAAGTACTAAATGAACAACCAGGCAATCCACCAGCCTCCTTTCCCTTGCCCTGTGATGTCAATGAATACGTATGTTTGGGTCTAAGAACCAGGGTCCCAAGTAAAACTCCTGAGTAAGAGTACAGGAAATTTAGTATCCAACTGTATACTAAATATACCATCATGAATGCAAATAGTTTATTGTAGGAATGTGAGTGCATCGAGCAGAGTTCCTGGTTGCAAACAATAATAGATGACTCTTGCTAAGTAACTATGAAAAGAATTTACTGGAAAGATATTAGGTGTCTTGCAAGTTCTATAGACATCACCAGGATTGTTGCTTGGGTCTTATCTTATCCCAATATGTCAACAGCCACTAAGTTTAGAGCTATCCTTAATCCATCACTACTTCCTTCCATAGTTCTACCCCACAGTTTTGGAGTATGGTTTTCACTTTCGATTCTTTCACATTTGCCTGTAGCCTCAGGAATTTTTTTTTATAGTTTCTGGCCAGCTGAGATCAGCCTTTCTTATTTTCCAGACAGCTGTGGAAAATGCACACATATCTTTCCTGTTACTTCGAAATATTTCTGGAAGGCTGGCATACGAGGCTAGTGTTCCATCTTGATCCTATCTCTCCTCTGGGTCCTTTCTGGTTAGGCACAGACAGGAACAGACTGAGTAACTAAAGCTGATAGAGCCACCCAACTCCAACCTAATCCTCCTATCCCAAGCAGGTATGGAAGTGCTTCCTGAACAAAAGAAGAATGAATTGTTCTTAAAATTACAGCACTGAAATGGGGGCAGATTTAAATACGTACATACATAATACACATATACATATGTGTATGTGTGTGTATATATATAGAGAGAGATATGAAGGCTGTCTTCATGAAAAATATTTTGTGCTTCTACTTTCACAAGAAATGTTAGCTTTTTCATACATATAATTTATTTACAAAGTACAGAAAAGAGATACTACTCTACTCATGAAGAATATACACAAAAGCAAGATTGGAAAACCAGCTTAGTAGTTTGGAAAGTATATAGAAATTGCAAAAAATTTTCACACACAGAAGGAATCACTGTTTTCCAAAACTCATTCCAAAAATACCAGAACGTAGTCCGTCGATCCTCCTTGACAGTTTTGCATTTATATAAATCTGGTGCTGAAAATTCTTTACAAATATCATCCTTCAGCATATTTGTTATCCTGTAGAGAAACCGCAACGAAAGCATGCAATGTTATGCAATGCCCCCAGAGCTGACCTAAGAGAAAACATAATGTCTCATGATTCCTTCTATAGCTTTCTGTACATTATGGGTGTGTCTACACATGCACCTGGAGCAGAGCCAAGTGAACCTCAGAAATACTATATTTCTGTCACTACTTCAAGCAAACATGTACATGAAAACCTCTTAATTCTCATCTGTCATACTGTAATATGACAAGACTCAAAGCACGATTGCCAGCAGTAAATTAGCTGGGGGGTACACATCAC